GTATTTCATGGCACACTCGTTTTATGCGTATTTGGCGCCACCTAGTGTTGTGGGTGTATTATTGACATGTCAAAGTCTAGACCCTGAATATAAGACGACCGCGTTTTTTCAGATGTATTTCCAAGAAAAAAACATCATCTTATATTCGGGTCAATACGGTAATACTAATTTCATATGATTGGTATTCTACTTCTTATTATATTGCAGGGTTTAAAGCAACAAAAAAATAATCTTTTGACTGAACATTTTTCTTCGACCAAACCCCATTCCTCAGCCATACCTGTCACACACCAAGTTTAAGAGCAGTGTTTTTCTTCTTGTAATTAGGAACGCTTGTCCTCCTAATTAAAAAATTAATTTGTACTACAGAGGTGGCACAGAAGAACACAAAAGTGGCTTGTAGGTACATTTTCAGACGTTTAATGAGGCTCAGAGGTGCCATGAGTGCAATTAAATTCATAAGTTCATGTGGAGATTAAGGTTTTAAATATAACATTTTGAATACAGAAATATGATTTAAATAACTGAAATTATACGCTAAAAAATAAAACTAAATCCGCCAGCAGGTGGCGGCAAGTCACTGACTTTTATCACTGAATCATTCATTCAATTGATTCGTTCGAACGGCTGAATCATTCAGGAATGAAGCAAGTGACTGTCTTTATGAACTGACGGAAATCCGTCGTAGCAACGGAACTTTAATCCCTGCACTTCAGGTCCTGAGAGATTGTGGTGCCCAGGAATCTGAATGACTCCACTGTCGTTACAGTGCTGTCCATGATGGTGAGTGGGGGGATTGCAGGGGGGTTTCTCCTGAAGTCCACTATCTCCACTGTTTTGAGCGTGTTGAGCTCCAGGTTGTTAAGACTGTACCAGACAGCCAGCTCTTTAACCTCTGTTCTGAAGTATTATTTTGGGGGATCTGTAGCTTACTCAAGTTCAATTTAAACTGACTACACTGCTAAATCTGAACACTTTTTTGAGTCCAAAAATGTCTTGGGTTACAAATGTAAGCATGGTTCCTTGAGAAGGGGAATGAGACACAGCATCTGCTGATGCTATGGACGGATATATCGCATTCTGCAGAAAAGGGAGACTGGCGTTTGTCGCGAATAACTCGGCGGATATCGCATTTTGCGTGAAATAAAAAATTTACTTTTCAGTACCGACCAGATACAATACTGATTTTGGCGAAAACAAAAAAAAAAAAAAGGCGTTTATCGCGTTTTGGAACCAAACTCTTCATATATATATATATATATATATATGTATATGTATACACGTGTATGTATGTATGTGCATGTGTGTGTATATTATTTTACTATAAAGTATGACTAGAAACAATGACATTGTTAAATTCTATTTATATTTGTATGTACAGTACATACGTACTTGTATTTATTACTTTATCCTTTTTTTATCTGTATGCCTATATTTTTTTATATTTTATTTTTACACCTAATTTTATGCTATGTGTTATTTTATGCCTAGTTTATCTTTATACATATTTTTATGTTTTTAGCACTATGCTGTTTGCAACAAAAGGATGGCTATCCAATTTTGTATTACTTGCGACTTGTAAAGGCATTCTGATGATGATTTTTTGATGTTTTTTTTTTCTTCCTATTGTTGTAGACACCATCAACGGAGACAGAATGGCGGACAATAGCCCAGGACTTTGAAAGGAAAGGGCAGTTTCCACATTGCCTTGGGGCACTTGATGGCAAGCACATTCACATACAGCCTCCAAAAAAAAGTGGCAGTCTTTACCACAATTACAAGGGCAGGTTCTCTGTAATAATGATGGCTGCAGTAGATGCGAACTACAAGTTCATCTATGCAAGTGTGGGTACCCAAGGTAGGGTTTCAGATGCTGGACTGTTTGCACACTCTGACTTGCGCAAAGCAATGGACCAGGGCCTACTGAACTTTCCTCCACCTGAGCCTTTGCCCAGCTCTGACATAATGATGCCCTACATGTTTGTGGGTGATGAGACATATCCCTTAAGGCATGACCTCATGAAGCCTTATCCATTCAGGCAGATGGAGCACAGTCAAAGAGTCCTGAACTACCGTCTCTCTAGGGCACGACGAGTGGTAGAGAATGCATTGGGCATTCTTGCCAACAGGTTGAGAGTTTTCAGGTCGACCATATGCTTGAATCCAGACAAGGTGGTGAAGATAACAATGGCCTCTCTGTGCATCCACAACTTCCTCTGTGAGCGCAGGTCAGAGGCATATACACCTCCAGTCTTTGCAGACTGGGAGAATGCTGACCACAACATGGTTGATAGAGTCTGGAGGAATCATGGGATGGGGGCTTTTCTGCTGGTGGAGCATAGAACACACCGCAATGCAACTGTACCAGCAAAAATGCAACGAAAAACTATTTTGTCTCACCGGCAGGTAGCATTCCTTGGCAAGAGCAACACATTTAGAAAAGTATAAATAATTTTATGATAATTAAAGTATTCTAAGTTTTTGTCTGGAAATGCATACTTTTTGTTGTGTATGGGTGTACTGCATTGTCTTCTGTTGTTAAAAGTTATAATCTCAATAAACATAATTTCTGTGCTTCAGTTATTGACCTGTTATTGATTCTACGCCCGAGTCCTTAATGACTTGTGGATTGTTTTTTATTTTTTTATCTTGAAACTTTACATGTTGTACAAAAATGTTAACAAATACTGTAACAACTGAATCTATTGACAAGACACTGTCACACTTGTGATGTAATGGCTTTCAAAAATGTACAGACAGACTGTTTTTGTAATTTGGGTTTCAAAGATTTATTGAAAAAAATACAGTATATTGGACCGTAAAAAACCTGCACATTACTGTGCAAAACCCAAATAGTGCTTCTACTTAACACTTCAATGTCAACATAGCCTTTAATAACAGTTAAATATATTCACATATGTTTACTAAGGCAATAGTGCCAAAATGTAAATGCATGTTGTAAGAAAAATCTAAACAAATACTGTTAACAATTTAAGCAATTCACAGCTTCTCAAGACACTTGCACACTTGCGATGTAATGGCTTTGAAAAAATTTACACAACCTCTTTTGTAATTTGGGTTTCAAAAATTTGTTGAAAAAAAAAAAATACTATAGATTCAGTAAAAACCTGCACATTACCATGCAACTCCCAAACAGTGCTTCTACTTACTGCAACGTGCAACCTTTAATAAGTACCAGTCAAAACGTTTGGACACAGGTACACATCCAAGACAATGGGAAAGTGTGTTTAAACTTTTGACTGGTACTGTACATTCAAATAAGTGCAACAGTGCAGAAATGGAACAACAAAAAAAATTCACTTAAAAGTTTCAACATAAATACTGTAACAATGTAAGCTATTCCCAGGCTTTCATAGTGATTATGATCTTGCAGTGTCTGCAAAAAGGTTGGATGAGGACTCCGAGCTGATGCGTAATGAGGACAAGACCGTGCCGGTGGCGGAGCTGAAATGACGGGTTGAAATGTGGATGGTGTGGGTTGTGTGTGTGAAGACAAGGATCTGTTCCTTTCAGTCTCCTGAATGTCATAGATCATAATCATTATGCTCTTTTTCTATCTTGCTAAGTGTACAGGGTCTTAAATTACAACATGGTTGATAGAGTCTGGAGGAATCATGGGATGGGGGCTTTTCTGCTGGTGGAGCATAGAACACACCGCAATGCAACTGTACCAGCAAAAATGCAAAGAAAAACTATTTTGTCTCACCGGCAGGTAGCATTCCTTGGCAAGAGCAACACATTTAGAAAAGTATAAATAATTTAATGATAATTATAATTGATGAAAATTCTGTCATTAATTACTCACCCTCATGTCGTTCCAAACCCGTTAAGACCTTCGTTCATCTTCGGAACACGAATGTTGTTGACAAATAAAATGTCCATAAATGCAGTTATGCCCTAAAATTCAAAATATTGGTGCAAAAATGCTCCTGTATGTGTTTATTGAAATCATATTTATATCACATTATGCAATATCACACCAACAGCGAGTGCAACACACGAGTGCTGTTTGAGTGCAAATGTGATTTTACACAACAGTTCTGTAAATAATAAGTTAATATTGTGTTGTATTTTAAGCATTAGAGCATGTAGCTAGATCAGAATCATAAAGGGACATTATTCACAAGCAGTGACAGAATCAGAAACTCGTGTAATCTGTGCACAAAAGTTTATTAGCTAAGAACTAACACACATAACGCTCACATCCTCATCTTCTCTGAATCTAACAGAACTGCAGACTGGCTGTGTCGAGGTCTGCCAGGCGCGGCTGCGTCGGCTCTGGGACTTAACAACCAGCAGACCGGAAGGTGATGAGAGACGAGTGAAGAGACTTAAAAGCCAGACGGATCACTAAAGTGAGGCCTTTTAAGTTCTGTGGAGGTCACACCTCTCGAGGGTCAAAGAGCCAATGGTGACTTGCACTTTTGGAGGAAAAGTTTACGACTCTTTGTCTTAGAGCATGGTATTATGCATATGTAATTCGATTGGGTGTTGATGCAAAAACTACTAAAAATTCTTAGAACTCTAATATGTTGCATAGGTATAAACATATAATATACACTTTCAATTAGATCATCCGAAGACGAATTCATAGAGACCAAACATGGTATAGATGAAATTGTATTAACTAGTGATCTATCATAAGCATGCATAAAACAGTATACAATACACAAGACCATATAAAAGAACATAATAATCATACACAATGACCTGGGGATATGCACGATAGGAAGGTTATAGAAAAAATGGTCTATGAATTAATGAAATAAATAATTTCCTATAGCAGTATGTAGAGGTGGAAGATTCTCTCTACATACTTTTAGGTCGTAAAGTTTATCTGGTCTGGCTGAGGTGTCCTGGTTGCCATGGTAACCAGGGGCCTGGAGGTCGTTTACAGACATATAGGCACAGAGTCTGGTGTTGGGTCTGTGTTTATTTGTTAATCTAATGAATAATTGATTTGTTAAATCCAATGAACAATTGTGTCTGATTGGTCCAAATGCTAGTGTTTTGGCATGTTTGTAACTTTATATTTACTATTAGTTCTTCATAATTAATTTGAAATATAATTTAAAATGTAACAATTTGAAATGCAACTGAAAGTAATTCAAGATGTATCTGAAATCTATTCAATACGTAACCCAATGTAATTAATTATAACATGCCTATAAGATTAGCCCTAGCAGAAAAAAGACAAAAACACAATATTGGATATGGCTCCATTCATAATGTATGCAACATGCAGCATGTAATGACAGTGGTGAAGGATTTTTTTTTTTATAAATACCTTTTTGTGTTTAGCAGAAGACCGTAATTTTGAGATTACAACATGTGACATTCTACTTGGATTAATTAAGCATTTCTATGGCAACACCATCGATGCCTAAATGAATCTGCAGTGGTCAGGTGGTTCAGTGGTCACATGGTACATGTGGGAGCTCTAAGAAAATTCCCAGTTTAGAAGCTGTAATTACGAGTTCTACGTGGGCATGAATGCTTTTAAAATTTTGGAATCTCTTAATCATGGTAATTACAACATGGCATGAATGCACATACAAGGACTCATACCTTACATCTGGTGGAAATTTTTCTTTGAAGCCATCTTTGATTTTTTGTATTGGCCCATTTTTTTTTTTTTAAATCAAATTCAAATGCACTTAATTAATGTCTAATTTCATGCAAGTGTTTGGTCCGCTGTTTCATGATTGCATCATCAGCTGGACTCTTCCGTAGGACAACATCCTTGTTGAAGGTTCGATGATATGGAGCCCTGAGTCTGTTAAGAGATCAACCACAAGCTGCCTTCGTTCCTCTTCAGAAGACAAATTAAGATATTTTTGATGAAATCCGAGAGCTTTCTGACCCTGCATAGACAGCAACACAACTGAAAAACCCAGGCCCAGAAAGGTAGTAAGGACATTGTTAAAAC